TCTGGCCCCAGGAGCTACATTTTTATTTTGAACTATGTGAACTTATTGTTAATCTCTTCTGTCTGCATTAAGGGTTGAGGCCTTCAGCATTATTATAAATTGGGTAATGAAATTTGGTGATGCAGAATAGGGTCAGACAGTTACTTTATTTCCGGTCAAACTGAAAGGAAGCATTATCAGAGTAAACTGAACTGTAACCTACAGCTGTAAGGAAGTCTTAACTGGAATTCAGGCATTGCTTTCTACTAAAGAAAAATATTCATAATTGCTTTTGGAAAGTCCAGATAACATTTTTTTCTTAAATGTTCAAGGGCTGGAGCGATAGCACAGCAGTCGGGCGTTTGCCTTGCACGCAGCCAACATGGCCGACCCGAGTTCGATTCCTCCGCCCCTCTCGGAGAGCCCGGCAAGCTACCGAGAGTATTCGATTTGCCAGACACAGAAACAACAAAGTCTCCAATGGAGACGTTACTGGGCCCGCTCGAGCAAATCGATGAACAACGGGAGGACAGTGCTACAACTGACGTTTATTGTCATTTAATGTTGCATACATTTTTTACTAATATTTTCAGCTTTTTTTTTTTTAAAAAAAAAGAATTTTAACACACCTCCCAAAGCTAAATGCCTCACTTTGTTTTGTGGGTATTTTTTTGTTTTTTGTTTTTTTTCTTTTTCTTTTTGGGTCACACCCAGCGATGCTCAGAGGTTACTCCTGGCTCTGCACTCAGGAATTACTCCTGGCGGTGCTCAGGGCACCGTATGGGATGCTGGGAGTCGAACCCGGGTTGGGCTTGTGCAAGGCACACGCCCTACCCACTCCAGCCCCACCTCACCTTGTTTTCGGTAGTAAATCTTGATTGTCAAGAATTTCTGTGGAATTAACTATGCAACAGTTCTCTTGTGTCTTCTGCATTTTCCAGAGAGATCTCTTGGGTGTTCCTGAGATTCAGAGTCCCCCGAAGGCGCGGGGGGACACTGTCCCTTCTCTGAAGACGCTTCCCACTATGGCCGTGCCCGCGAGTGCCTCCCCCAGCCCAGGGCAGAGGGTTCCTTCCTTGCTCGGTGAAGTGAGTTGGAAGGTGTCTGCCTGCTGCCCCAGGGGCTGCTAAACCTGCTGGAAGATCCTGTATAGGAAGAGTTCTCAGAGAGCTCGGTTTGCGTGTGGGGATGGGGCGTGTCTTGTGCGTGGGGCACCGGGTGGTCTGGCGTGGGGGCGCAGGCCGCCTCTGCTGGTCTCTGAGCGTGTCTGTCCATCTCTGTCCGGCTATGGTGGGCTCCCAGGCCTACTGCTGTCCGATGGGCGGCAGCAGCGTATGTTTCGGCCCCGGGGCGGGAGCAGCACATGCGTCCCTGCTCTCCTTCTGGTTTCTAGGCAGCGTGTCGAATCCTCCGTGCTCCCGTGGGCCCAAGCAAGCGTGGCTCGGGGTGCTGGTGCTCTGCAGAGTGGCAGGCTCTGGTCTGCGTCACCAGGAGATGGATTTTTGCACCTCGGATGTTTACTCTTCTGGCTCGCCAGCCAGCGGTGGGAATAGCTGGCAGATGCGCTCCGCAGAGCAGACGGGTGGAAACAGGTCTGTGACTGAGGCAGTGCCGCACCACACTCTCTGCGTCCTCCGCAGGAAGGTCGGCGTGTTTGCTGTGTCCGATGCTCTCAACCGTGCTCAGACGCGCACCCGGTCAGAGAGATGGGAGTGGAGGGAGGAAGCAGACCCAGATCAGATAATAGACAGATTCCACTTGTCAGTAATCTTTAACCCACTGGACCTCTAGGGCAGATGTTTATCTTCGTCCCTGCCACGGTACCCCGTGTGCCTGCCACGCCAGGTAGATAACAGGTTCTGATGAGTTTGCACCAGGCGCCATAGAAACCGTGGAAACCAGAGGCTAGGACAGCTGCGGTGACCGGACTGGGGCTCAGTGCTGCGGAAGTCCTGTTTATTGAGCACTTGCTACATGGGACGCTACGTCCCAGGCGTTCCGGGTCCTGGGGTGCTGTGGAACATCCTCAGGACTCTGTCGAGTCTTGGAAAGATCCAGGAACAGGCCACGGTTTCCCCCGAAGACCTGACCCCTTTCCTTTGTCTGACACTAAAATGCAGGAGATTTTCCCACTGGGCGGTGTGGATACAGCTTGGGGGGAGAGGGGGCACCTGCGTGCACTGGCCCCCACACCCCTGATTCTGTGTCTCGCCAAAACAGGATTTTATAGAGAACACAGACTGTGTAAATCAGGTGTCTAAAAAGTGTGGAGGGGCCGGGGAGATGGTACCTTGCCCACATCCAGACCAGGCTCCATCCCTGCTTCCCATGTGGGCTGAGTGACCCTGAGCAGAGCCAGGAGGGAGGAAGCCCCGAGCACCCTGGGTGTGGCCCAGAAACAGGAAACACATTTGTGACTCCTCAGGAAAATGAAAGAATTTTCTGAGAGATTTCTGTGAAGAGAATCACCGGAATATTTGGGTCAGAGGGAGAGACAAGGTTAAGGTATTTGCCTTGCCTGGGGTACCTGGGCTCATTCCCTGGCACCACATACGGTCCCCTGAGCACCACGGATGCGACCTAAACTCTGGAAAAATAAAATGAAAAGGTATTGGGGGCGGATAGTGCAGTGGTTAGGGCGCCTGCCTGGCAAGGACCCAGCCGAGGTTGATTTGGCACCGTGTGACCCCTGAGCAATGCGGGGCCCCCACTGGGCTCGTAGCATCGCCTCCTCAGACATTGGCACCCCCGGGAGAGGGAGAAGGGGCGGTACAGGGAGCGCAAGTGTGGAAAGAGAAACGGCGGGACGCGCCCAGGAACGCCCCCGCCCCCACCCGCTGCCTGGTCCTGTCTCGTGGAAACCGTCTCCAGACCTCCCGCCTCTCCTGTCCGCCCCAGCAGCTGCCCATGCCGGAGGCCTGACCGTATGTGGCCCCTTCTCGGGTTGCCATGACAGCTCGAGCGGCGTGGGACGGGTGGTGGCAGGACACAGGGGAGCTGAAGCGTGGGTGCCCCGTGCTGCGCCCAGTTCTGTCCCGGGGCCTCCGTGCTCTCCTGGTGGTCGTAGAGGGCGCCCCGCAGGAGGCTCTGAACTAAGGTATCTGGGCTCGGCGTCTACTGACCTCGCTGGCGTCTGCACTGCCCCTGACCGTGCGCGCACCTTGTCTTGGTGTGAGCCCACAGGCCGCTCGCCCTGCAGGGGGCTTCCACGGCGCATGCAGCCGGGCAGCAGCGGGAGCTCCACAGGACGGTCTCCCCGGGGATGCCCCCTTGCCTGTCTCAGGGCAGGTTGCAGAGTCCGGGACTTGAACACCCCCACCCCCACCTCCCTGGGGGTCGGCCACGGCCACGTGCTGCAACATGGACTCCAGCAGCTTCTTAAAGCCTGTCCCCGGGTTCCAAACCCAGAGAGAGGGCAGGGCAGACTCGTGTGTCTGTGTCTGTGTGTGTGTCCAAGAGTAAGAAGTGCTTCTCCTCCAGCAGGGGCTCTTCAGAGGGATTGCAGGGTTGCAGGAGGCTTTCTTGGCTTCAGGGACTCTGAAGGTAACCCAAGACCTCAGACACACTCGCATTTCTGTCTGCCAGGAAGGGATCCAAGACTGCTGACCGGGCCTGGCCTGTCAGTGACCATGATCCCTTCCTGTGGAAACTGGGTGCTTCACCGCCCTGCGGGAGCCTGGCAGGCAGCACATGAGAGGAGCAGACTGTCTGTCGGGGGCTCTCCTCGGGGTATACGTAGCTCAGCCCCAGCCTCTTGGGCCCAGCAGGCAAGAACAAGGTTCAGGAACCAGCTATGCAGCCCGGCTGAGTGGCCCGAGCTGGGGTCAGGGAGGCGGCCTCAGAAGACTGTTGCTGGTCGGTGAGTCCCGATGCCCGAAACCGCCTCTGCCGTCAGTGTCCCCCGGGGCGCCTAGCAGACGCTCAGTGCGCTCCGGGACGCACCGCATGTGCTTTCCTGTAACAGATGAACCGCGACCTGCGCTGGGTGAAGTGGGCCCGGACTGCTGGGGTGCCGGCACCGGCCTGCTGCCTCTGTGGGCGTCGTGGGCACGCGTCGAACCTTCCCGTTGAGAACCCAGTGTGGCGCGTGGCGTTCCTTCCCCGGCGCTGGGGTCATGTTCGCCTGTCTGTGCCCAGGGCGTCTCCATCCTCATCTGTTCTTGGACACTCGGTGGTTCCGGACGCGGGCCATTGTGAATAGCATTGCCTTGAGCAGAGTCCCGCTCACGTGCGTGGTATAAGGAGACAGTAAGGGCCGGAGAGAGGGACGGCGAGCCAGGCACCGGCTTTGCACGCAGCCAACCCAGCTCGATCCCTGATACCTCTGCTGGCCCCGAGTCCCACCAGGAGTGATCCCTGAGCACCACCCGGGATGTCTCCAAACAAAAGGCAAGGGAGCAAGGGAGTAGCAAGGCCCAAGGCAGCAGACCTAAGCTGACCAAGACGCGGGAACGGGCTGACCAGGAGGGGACCCGGGACAGTGGTGGAGGGGAGTGGACACTCGGGGGGGGGGCGTGGGGCTGGGACGTCGTGGGCATGAAATCGGACTCAGATTCAGTCTGTCATCCTTCACGTGTTCCAAAGGGGCAAAAAACCGTGTTGGAACTCGGTCTCGGCTCTCGTTACTGCAGTGAGGTTTACCTGCCGTTGCCGTGGGAAGTTGGAAATGCTCGTTCCGTCAGGTTACAGGTTTTACGTTGAGGGCTTTGCTGGAAGCACGAGTGATGCTATTCTCCGATTGCCCACGTCTGGTCCTTTCTTGATAGCCGTTCCGAAATACGGTGCACGATCACCCGCACCAGAAGAGCGCACATGAGTTGGACTCAGGGGCATGTAGAAACCCCCCGCGTCGAGCTGGTGAAAAGGCTCACCCCAGAGTGTCCCAGCGCCTCTTCACCACCAGCTCCTCGTCCCCAAGCGCCCGGTGCCTGCCGTCTTCGCTGTCCGTGCCCGAGGCTTCCGTGCGTGTCCGGCACGGGCCCTTTCCTGCGCGGTACTGACGTGTTTGTTTGCCCTTCCAGCTCCAGCTCGGACATCATCAGGGACCTTCTGGAGCAGGAGGAGGCCTGGGAGGCGGCGCACAGGTGAGTCTGCACCATCGGGGGCGTCTCTGGGTTTTGTTTGACCCGAGAGATTGGGATTCGGACAAGAGTATCAGTGTTTACCAGAAAGCTGTTACCTCCGCAGCCCGGGCCAAGGTTCCCGGCATCTTGCTTTCCTCTGCAGGGAGACGGGCTCCCCGTGTAACCGCCTGCTATTGTCCGAAGCTCTTTTTCTGCAGACAGAATGTTCTGATGGGCACTTTATAGCCGGCTGCTCGGGGCCGCACCTGGCAGGCACAAGAGGCTGCTTGATTTTAGGAACCTTCTCGTCTGTTCCTGGATGTTCCCGTGCTAAGATGGGTTTGCTTTGTGCGGCGCAAATGTGCTCGGAGGCTGAGAGTCCCCTGGGGCTCAGGGCCACGTCCGACCGCTGCAGTGGGAGCACAGAACTTCCCGGGAGGTGCCCTGCCCCCGACCCCCAGCCCACGTCCGACAGGCTGCCTGGGCCCGCCCCCCTTCCTGGCCACATTCTGAAAGGCCGAGAGTCACCTGCCCCAGTCACTTTCTCTCCTCCTTCACAAGCATGTTGGGAACTCGGCTCGGTTCGTGGTTCTGCTGTTACCCACGGGGGCTTCTCCCGTGTGGAAAGGGAACAGAAGCCATTCACAATGGGTGTCCTCCCCCTCCAAGACCAGCGTGACAGCCGGTGGCTCTGACCACTGCCCCGTGGTGTGGAGGGTCTCTGCCCGGGGGCCTGAGTCCTCCTGCCTCCCTTCCCTTGGTGGGACTTTGGCCCCTGACCTGTAGTCAGTGACGTCCTCTCAGCTGTATTTCAGTCACTGGGTTTCCCACATTCTCGCATCTTTCCTATCTTAAAACCCACCAACCTACCCAGGAAGACCCCCACGCTTGGCCCCCCGGCCCTGCAGCTGGGCTCTGTCTCCTGTTGACCTTCAGGGGTCGCCACGTACAGGCCGTTTGCTCAGCACACACAGCCGGGTGGGCGCGAGACGGGCTGTCCAGGCCTTCCCTGTTCCCCAGGGTCTCCTCGTCGGCCGGCCACTCACCGCCAACTCTGACCAGGGTTGACCCCATCTCCCGCCCACTCCTGCGCTCACTCCCGCATCCTCATCCGCCCGCCTCGGGGCTGTCCCGCGCCTTTCCCACGCCCCCTGGGCCATTCTTACCGTCTGCTCTGCCCACGTGGGACCTGGGACCTCTGACCATCCTGGAGCCCCCGCTGTGCCTCTGTCTCTCACTGGGACCCGGGTCTCCTGCGTCTCAGCCTCTGCCCGTTCCCCAACTTCCCTCCGCAGGGCAGTTCGTGTCAGGGTCGAAGGCTCCAGCTCCGGCTCTGCTTCCACTTCAGGCCCCTTCAGCGGCCTCTTGCCAAGCGTAGGAGGAGAAGGGGCCTTGCAGCCCTCCACCCTTCTCCGCTCCACCAGCCAGCCCCCGCCTGCCCCCCAGGCCCGTCCTCCCCTGCCCACTTGCTGCCCATGCACTGGGCCCTGCTCTCCTGGGCAGCTCAGCTCGGGAACTGCTTCTCAAGACCATGCTCCCCTTTCCAGCACATTCTTCCCATCGGTCCGAGGGCTCAACACTTTGACCACCCCCCGCCCCCACCCTGGCCCCACACTCGGTATCTGTGAGCTCATCTGAGGGACGTGAGGAAGCGGCAGCGAGGGGTCAACCTCAGCCCAGGAGCCTTGGAGACCCGCCCGGGTGAGGACTCAGTGAGGCCCACGGCGTCGCGTCCAGGGGCTGCTGGACACGGGTCGGGTTGCCCGGCAAGGGGTCAGAGCGTTGGGCCGCATCACTGCCCCCAGGAATGTGTCACTTCCGGTCCTGCAGCTGAGGCCACTTCGGAGCCAGGCGTGTCCTCTGGCTCCCGCTAGACAGAACTGGACGGGGGGGCTGCCTGCCATGGCCCCCGGCCGCCTGCTCACAGCGACCCGCAGAGCTGTCTCATAAGGAAGCAGCTAGAAAACGTCCCCTGGCCAGAGTGTCCGAGAACAGCTGTGGGGGTTGGGAGGATGTCAGCCCGCCCCCGGCAAGAAGCAGCCCATGGTAAAAATCAGTGGATCCAGGCTGCAGGCGTGACCCCACCCGAGCCCTGGAGAGCCACGCCACGATGCACGGAGAGTGTGTGCTTCCCTGCCCGGGACTCCCCGTGGGTCCGCAGTGCCGGCCAGGGCGGCGGACTTGGGTGCTCCCTTGCGCTTGGACAGACGCTCCTTGCTCTGCTTTGGAATTGGGGTCTTGGTTGCCTTGCAGCTCCGGGGCTCCGAAAAGAGGTTGGGAAGGGTCACGCTTTGGGGGGCTTTCCAGCCCCGTCTTCTGTGGGGTTGAGAGCCGCTTCCCGCATGCTGGGGAAGCCGGGAGCAGCTGGTTCTGGCAGAAGAGCCTCCGGCCTGGCTCTCCCTTTGCTCCACGAGGTGCTCAGATGCCGGGAGGGAAAGCCGCGTGACACTGTCGGGTCAGGGACGGGCGTGGGCAGGGGGTCGGGCCGCTGGTCCTGAGACGCTCGTCCCTGACCCGACAGTGCCCGTCTGTTCTGTGTTTTCAGAAATGAAGTGCCGGACACAGAGTGGGCCCCGAGACACACCCGCCGTGCCAGAGCCTCCGACGGGGCCGAGACGGAGCCCAGGAATAAGCGGAACAGGAACTAGTCCGGCGTGGCCTCATGGTCTGGCCGGCCCTGGACTTTATCCTCAGACGGCCTGAAGATGCCCAGTGCCGAGTGTCCCGACTCCCGCCGCTCCCACCGCGTCCCCTGCTGCCCTCTCGCCTCTCAAAGACCCTGCTGGACGAGCGCCTGGCCGGTGGACAGTGCATGCCGGGGTCGGAGGTCCCTGCCCTTCTCTTCTGCCCCAGAGAGACCCGCCTCGGGAACGGTGTCTCCGCCTCGAGCCTCTCCCGTCCCCTCGGGCCCCACGCCCCGAGGCAGTGGCAGGCAGGGACAGTGTCAGAGGCACCTCGGTGGTTGCTCTGAGTCTTTGCACTTGGGTCAATTAAATCTCTCGCATTCCGAGTCCCAGCTGTTACGCAGAAAGCGCAATAAATGGCTTTTGTAAATGAGTAGCCGGTGGGTCTCGGCCCAGCCCCGCGCCCCCTCCCGCGCGCCGCGAGGACAGAGTGTGCGTCACTGGCCAGCGGCTGTTGGGTGAGGTTTGTGCAGAGTGTCCCCCGCTTCCTGCCAGTCCTGCCGCTCTCTGGCCTCGCGAAGCCTGTCCCCGTCCCCTCCTGGCCCGCGGCAGACACCCCGCCCGTGTCGTCACCAGTGCTGGGCCGACGGTGACCCCCCGAGAACGTGTCGCTGCTCGCGCCGGTGCCTGCCTTGGGGTTTCTGCGGGATGCGGGCGTCTCGTTATGGCCGTGACGTCGCTGCTTTCACGCTCTAACGGCCGTGTGTTTCCTCCTGAGCCCCCTGAGCTGCCGCCGGTTATGTAAGCGTCTGTCACCAGCATTTCGTCGGCCGGAAATCCTGAGCGCTGCATGGGGACGGAGCAGACACGCTCACCGGCCCTAGGGCGCTCTGACGGAGATGAGGTGAAAACAGGGCAAAACGGGGCCAGCCGCGTGCCTCCCGCGTCCCGACATGCCCAGTCGCGGCTACAGCAGCTTATGGCATCAGAGCCGCAAAACTGCCGTCGGCGTCTCTGGAAATGATTGCCGGGCTGCCCTGCAGGAGGGGTTGGGACTTGAGCCCCGAGAAAGGTCGAGAAAGAGCACAGAAGGGCAGTGTCGTTTGGGAACCCAGATGCCACAGCCACGTGAGGGCCCCACTCACGGCAACACCACAGAGGCAGAAGGAGGAGAAGTCTCACTTGAGGAAAAGAAATCAACTTTTGGGCCACACTCACTGGTGTTCGGGGTTTACTCCTGGCTCTGTGCTCATGATTCAGTTCTCGGGTGAGGCTGGGGATTGACCCCGGGCCGCTGCGTGCGGGGCAGACGCCCTCCCCGCTGTCCTGTGGCTCTGTGCTGCGTGTTCTCGCTCGTGTGCCGTCCCAGGTGGGGTGTCCCAGCTTAAATAGATTTGTCTTCTTGGCTTAGACTCCCAGGAGTGGCATTGTCGGGACTTGAGCCTTAATAAAACATTTAGGCAGGTTTGGAGAGAGTGTACCTGGCAGCAAGATTCTGGTGTAAGTTTGCTTTCTCTGAGTGAGGGCCAGGAAGAGAGACGGAGCCTTTGGTGGGAATCACAGCTGGGCAGAAGCTTCCGTCCAGCTGCTGCTCCAGCTCAGGAAGGACCGTGCCCTGCGGCCGGAGACAGACGCAGACCAGGTGGGCCTTGGTGCCGGTTCGGGTGTCCGAAAGGCACCTTTCCCCCGAGGCCGGATGGTTTCAGATGAGGCTTGCGGTTGGTTTTCTCCTGCTGGCCGAAGGTCCGGCTGCTCTGGGTGCCAGGTGAGGAGCTGGCAGAGCTGACGCTCGTGACACCGCCCAGGGGCGCCAGCAGGCGGGGACTGGGCCCCTGGAGACCCCTGTGTCACCACCACAGAGCCCACTGAACCCTCCCGCCCCGACTTCCGGGGACACTGAGCAAGTCCCTCCACGCAAGCCAGGAGGAGCACCTGCGTGACCTTCCCCGTCTGTCCGGCCTGCACTGCCCAGCCTGTACCTCCCTCTGGCCGCCCAGCATCCCCTGGAAGCCTTGAGACTCCCCTACAAATGTCCAGCTGCTCAGAGGCCTCTGCTCTGTCCATCCTCCCCCAGTCTCCAGCTCTGTCTGCCCATCTCATCTCTGCCAAGGGCCCTGGACTGCCCGCGCCAGGCCGCCCACGGGGCCGGGAAAGAGCCGCTGGCCGCCTGGCCCGTGTCTCATTCCCCCCCTTAACTCCCAACGGCCAGTTTCTTAGTTCAGCTTTTTTGCGTCTTATGTTTTGCGTGTTTGTTTTGTTGTGGCCTTACGAGGCGATGCTCGGGGTCACTCCTGGTGGGGCTCAGGGGGCCACATGGGATGACAGGGCTCGAACTTGGGTGGGCCTTGGGAGGCAAACGCCCCACCTGCTGTCCTGTTGCTTCAGCCCCTTTTGCATGTTTTTAAAAGCCTCTTTTTGTCAGCAGAGAAAGTAAGCTTGATCCCTCGTTACTGGCTAGAATTGCCAGGATTGGAGGCTGCCGTATTTAAATTGCACAATGACAAACCTCTCAGCGTCTCCCAACACAGAAGGGTTGGTAGGTAGGGTCCCTGGGGAGGACGATGTGTTCGAGCTGCTTAAAGGGTTTGGGAAGATGCTGGCATGACGATAGGGTGAATACTGAGAGTGGACGAGAGATTGTGCGTGGCTCTCTCCAGCGGGATCCCAGTTCCTTCAAATGTCCTTTGCTGAAGGACATTGAAGAAGAAAGTGTCCCCCGGCTTCCTCTCTGATGTGGTGCTTGGGGCGGCTTTCATTCTCCGTCCTAAGTCGTGGGGTGCTGTCTGGGGTGTGCCACGGGCATCAGGCCATGCAGGTGCACACCCGGCTTCGGGCAGGTGGCAGCGATAGTCCCGAGGCCTTGGCGAGGCCAGTGGGCCAAAGTGTCCGGGGTGCGGCCTCTGCTTCTACCCTGGCTTCAGCCGGAACCTCTCCTCTGGCCTTGGTCTCCTGCCGGGACGCCTGGGAGTGGATGGCCACTTTGCAGGCTCTGCCACCTGGACTCCCCACTGCGGTGCCAGTGACCCCCCCCCACGCCCTGTCCCTCGGGGTGGGGGGCACTCTCCGCAGCTGCAGAACCGCTGGCTGCCAGCCACCCCCCGCAGTGAGCTGGGGGTTGGGCCCGGCATGGCCGCTGGCCCGCACTGCCTCCCGCCTCCCTCCCTGCCCTGGCCCCGGGCTCCTCCCTGCCCACTCCCAGCCTCACCGCCTGTCCCTGTCCGCCCCGTGGGAAGCTGACCCGTGCTGCTCTCACACTTCCCAGCTCGTGTCTGAGGCCCGGAGTGGGCAGCAGACGGGAGCTCGTCTCCAGGACACGGCTCTCCCAGGCCCTCCGCGCCGATGGTCCCAGGGCAAGGAAACCCAGGCAAGAGCCAGGCCTGCCCCTGGGGAGGGAGTGATGTGGGGGGACACCGTGTCCTTCGACGTCGGTATCGCTGAGCTGCCAAGGAGCGTCGCCACTGGCCTCTGCCGAGTGCTGAGAATTCTTCATTTTCCCACGGCCATTTACTGGTGTGGAGACGGTCTGAACCTTAGGGTTTGTTTGACTCGAATTCCTGCAGGTTTGGAGGAGAGTTTATTTGGGTGTCTTCCTTGTTCGGGGGGCACACCTGGCAGCATTTAGGGGACTTCCCTCAGCGGAGGACTCTCGCGGCAGTGCTCCAGGGTCCCGCAGTCGCCGGCGTGGGACTCGGGCCTTCTGCCCTTTGAGCAGCATTTGGGACCCCCGTTCTGCTCGTCCGAACCACCTCATTGGGGGAGCCCATCTTTTCCCCCAGAGTCTAGAGGTCAAACTTGGCCCCGGAGGTGAGAGCCAGCGAGAGATGTTTCCACTCAGTCAAGAAGTTCCGCGTCCGCTGTGCCAGAGTGGACGAGCTGGCGGCAGGCGGGTCCCCAGCGCAGGAGAGCCGCTGGGGAGGGAGGAAGGAGCAGAGACCATGGGGGCCGGTGCCCGCCCAAACTCACGTGTCCCTGACCCCGGGGGCCCTGGGCCAGTGTTATGTCCCGGGAAAGGGGGTTCACTCACACATTGGCCAGACCAGACGCGAGGCTGCAAATGCAAGGCTCGAGCTAGGGTCCGAGTCTCACCCAATGCAGTGGAGTCTTGACAAAGACCCGACTCGGAATTCTGAGTAGTTCATACAGGGTTTGGTCACATCACAGCATTTTTCCAGGAACTGACAATATGTTTCCAGCTCTTGGTCCCAGTCCTATCCGGTGACTCATCTCCATCGTACGCCTCCCCGTGGCTGGACGCCACTGCCCAGGCCCCCTACTCTGATAGGCTGTTGCCACGGGTCAGTTTACCTGCTGATCTATTTTCTGAGAAGTTGGGACTTTCTGACGGGGGAAACTGAAACTTAGGCCCGCTGAGTTTCGGTCTTAAAGTGGAGCCTGTCATGGCACCACTTCAGCCTCACGCCAGGAAGGCGACAGCTTTTCCTTGCTGGCTTCTTCCATCAACTTCGGCTTCCTGGCAGCACTGTCTGGGGACCCGCTGCCCTTCGAGGTGCTGTTAACCCCATTTTACAGATGAAGACGCTGAGCCTCCGCCGCGCCCAGCCATGCCCAGCGTGGAAGAGAGCACGGAGCCGGGTTTTCCTGCTGACTGGGGGTGGGCGAGGGCCCGCCCGGGCTCTGCTCTCTCCTCCCAGCTGCCTCCCGGCGCTCTCCTGCCTGCTCCGAGCAGCTGCTGACGGGTCTCTGTTCTCTCCCCGCACCTCGCTGGGCCTTGCTGGCCGCCGGCCTGGGCACCCGCCTTCACTCTGCAGTTCCTGTGGCCCAGGGCCTTCCTCCCCCATCTGGGACATTTAAACTGCAGCCGGCGCGGGTGCTGGAGGGAATCTGCTCTCCTCCTTAATTGATTGGGGTCGAGTCCAAGTCCTGCTGAGTGCCGAGCACTCGGGCTCTGAGTCACGGCCGCTGAGCACCGCAGGACTCAGCCCCGTCTGCCACGAAGGATCAGAAGAATCTGCCTCCTTCCTGGTGCTTGACATTGTCTTTAAACTTGTGCAAAGCAGAGGTGATTGCGAGTGGCCTCGGGGCTCGGTCACTGTGGTTTGGTTTTGGGGTCCTACCAGGGTGCTTGGGGCTCACTCCTGGCTCAGGGCTCACTCCTGGCTCTGTGCTCAGGGCTCACTCCCAGCTTCGTGCTCGGGACTCATTCCCGGCTCTGTA